CAGACCTACTCAGATAGCTGGTTTCAAGAAGGAAATACCAAAAATTCTCCTGAAATGTGGGTTGTACATGTCACTCATTCTCTTTACCTTAAGACAGGATGACATTGGGTGTCTATTCTTTTCCTGGCCTCTCTGCTCTCAGGACAGTTGGGCTTTAGTCCTCTTCCCATTTTCTACAGCTTCTGTGTACATGAAAGCTGAAAGGAAGGCCAAATGGCTATGCCGAAAGAGACTTGGAGGATCCCCTCAGAGTGATCTTTCTTGGATCTTTCTTGGTAACTTTCTTAGTCCTAATAACTCTCCTATTCCACAGCTTCCTTATTTTAAGGACTACATGCTTTTGAGGATAAGAGTACCAGAGCAGCAGAAGCACTAGTATTATCCTTCTGCTTTGCCTTCGATGAATGTCACCTGGCTTTTGGTTCCTTGCCAGACATATTTACTTGCTGTCCCCTGGCCATGCTGTGTGGTTATCCTGGACTGTGGCAGCATGGAGTCAGCAGGTGGCACTGTGACATCAGGGTCACATGTGTGGGGCCGGAGTCTTCTATGTTGAGTGCACAGCCTATGTCTTCTGAGCTTGAGTGCACAGCCTGTGTTTGCAGGGGTGTCATCTCACCTGAGGCCTCTCAGGGCCATATTATGGTATCTGTCAGTCGGGACTTGCCCCCGCTAAGCACATGTATTCCTTCTGTTTGCTTACAGGGCGGGGGTAGGGAGAACAGAGTTGGTGAAAAGTGCCTGTGAGCCATGTCTCTTCACTTGATATACTTGGCCCTGTTTCTCTAGAGTCCAGAGAGAGATTCTATTTCTCCTGCCTTCTCTTGTTTACTCAACCTTTTATAAAAGCATGATAGCCCTGCTTAGTATCCAAGAACATTTTACCAGGAAAGCCGAGACAAGTTCAGGTTTTGGGGGTTGACATTTGTCTGCCAAGGACACATCTGGACTCCATTAGGTTTGGCTCACTGGCCTGTCTCTCTGTCCTTGGACGTAGTTAATTTGGACCCTAGGCCATTCTATCAGTGACAACCCTACCTTTAGGAAATTCCTATGGCTCTTAGGTTTTTACCTGTGCTCCGTAAATGGCTCCAGCCCTTTCTTGTGATGGGTTTTTTTTGCAATAGGGTCTCAGGAACTGTTTGCCTGGGGTTGGCTTCAAACTGCGATCCTCTTGATCTCTGCCTCCTGGGTAGCTAGGAGTGGCAGGAGAGGATTGTTGAGGCAGAGAATAATGGAAGATAATGTAACTGGAGAGAGGCCATGCAGTAGCCATTTCTGTAGGCTGGTATGTCTTGGGCTCTTGAAGCCTTGAAATTCTGAAGCTTATCCCTATTCATTGGATTCTTTGCTCAGTTCTTGGTGGGGGGCGCTGGTAAACCCCATGGAGAGCAGTGTGAAGAGTGCCTGGGAGGGGCTCTGGGGGGTGGGTTGGAGGGTCATTGGGAGAACCATCAGGTGGGATCTGGATGGGTGGCCCAGTGAGTGAAGGAGCAGTAAAATATTCCAGAAGTTGGCAAATTCCCAATAAGCCCACTGTGAAGGGTCTGGTCTAACTTGCTGGGGGCAGGGGTTGTGGGGGAACAATGATACCAGAGATCTAGTTTGCCCTTAGCTAGTGGTGGTGAATCGCTTTTCACATGTGTCTTCTTAATCTGCCTCCTCGGCCACAAGCCTGGCTTGCTCACTGACATGAGTCTCACCTAATACCTTCCTGCTGCTGTCTTCTGTCTCTTCAATTACTAGATGGAGTGGTGAGTGCTGTGGTTTGCCCGTGCCTGTCCCTCAGCGCTAGGCCCCCAGGTAGACATGAATGTAGTAAGAAGGATGTGCAGGCTTGGGCTTGGCAGGCAGTCTCAAACATGTCCCCTCACCTGTCAGGGAGTGGGATGAGGTCACCTGGAAGGCTCCTTTTTGTTATGCCAGGTATGGGGGTGTAGAAAAGAAGGGTACACTGCTGACCTGAAGGCATTCATAGCCTGGTAGGGCAGACAAACAAATGAACAAGTGAGAGGGATGCAGGGGCCTAGAGAGAACCACATAGCCCTGTGGGAGCATCAGAGGGTGCCTCGCCTTGCATCTGGGGTGGGTGGTGGATCAGGAAAGGTTTTCTCAAGGGAGGTGATAATTGAGCTGGCTAGGAAGGACATGTAGCCTGGAGGACTGATGGGCAGAACCAGGCATGTCCCAGGGACGGTGAGGGATTAGTATTACCTGAGCAGTGGCTTGACCAGAGAAGTAGCCAGTTGGATCTGTCTGCTTTGGGGTAGGTGGGAACTCTGCGGTTACCAATAGAGAGGAAGCACTAGGCACCAGCAATGGAGTTGACATGGAAGATACTAATTAGTGGCTTGGCTGAGGGGTAAGGGCAGAGTCTAGATGGCTCATATATTTGCTGCCACAGCAGGGATGCACTTGGTGGTTGGTCCAGGTGGGGTTAAGAGCAGGTCCATTTTGGCAGGCTGTGTTTGGAATGTCTATGGGAGCATCAGGAGCCTATATTCAGTAGGCTTAGTATAGATAAAATCCTTTTGGGCAGAAGAAAGTATAAGGTATAGAGCAGACCCCTAAGGAGCATAGTGTGAGGCGGGGATATCTTGAGGGTGACTTGTCAGCAGCAGCAAATGCTGCAGAGTACAAGTCCTGTGAGGCAGGATAGGATAGTAGTTGGGGGAGTACTCGTGGCCCTGCTGGTAGCATGGTAAGGGCAGACCTTGACCAGAGTAGGGGTGGGTGGGAGGGAGGAAGGAGGTTGATGGTGAAGACAGCACAGCAGGGAGAATTATCCAGAATCACCCTTAGATGGGTTGGAAATGGCTCCAACATCAGATGATATGAAAGAGACCTGCCAGTGCTGTGTTGGGCAATGGGGGTGTCTGCCCTTGGAAGCCAACCAGGGTGCTCTGGGAGTGGGGAGTGTCCATGATAGTCAGCCAGAGGAATAGGAATCAGGGCGTGGCTGGTGGAAGGACCCTAACTGTTAATGACTGAGAGCTGAAGGCCAGGGCTGGGACTGAACAAGCCTAGGATTGTGAGCAGATACTGCCCGGGTTTTGTGCTAGATTCTGTGGTGCCCTAATCTATCTAGGAAACCCTGGTTCTCAATTGCTAGGGAAGGCCTGGGATAGCACTGAGGATAGCTGGGCCCCTGTTGTGCTGCCACTGTCATCACTGGCACTATCTTCCTGTTTGTGGTAGCCATCTCCCCAGCTGGCTGGCCTCCTTAGGTAACCAGGCAGGCAGCTATGGGTACTTCCCAGCAGTCACCTGCCCAGGATGATGGGTGTGGGGTGGTTTTTGCCTGCCTATCGTTACTGGGTCCCGGTGGTGTCCACAGGTTCCATCTCTACCACCAGGTGGCACACGTGTCCCCCTTCCCCCATTTCCAGCTGGGAGGAGGGGCTTCTTCCTCAACACCACAGGGGCCTGTTAAAGAGCCAGAAAGCTCTGTTCTAGGGGTTGGAGCTAGTCACACTTGCCTTTTTTCCCCTTGCTGCCATGAGTCAAGCCCATGACTTCTTGCTGGCTCTTGGGGTGATTGGTAGCTCCCTCCACCTTCAGGGCTCCAGCCCAGTGGGGGGCAGGCTGGTGGGCAGCTGGGGGCTGAGGCAGGGAAACCTGAGCTCTAGGCCACGAGGTCTCAGCCGCTAATTTTAGAGAGCACATGTCACTGGAAACTCTCCTCTTCTGCCAGGAATCAGCAGCCTGGCTTTCCCTGTGCTGCCAGGGCCCTTGGGAGCCTCTTCCCAAACCAGGAACCACAGGGACCCCTCCATTCCACATGTATGTTCCTGAAAGGGGCTTTGCCAAGACCCTACAGAGCCCTAGCTCAGATCTGCAAGAGAGCTCCTCTGCTCTGTGCTTCCAGTCTCGACTACCTGAGCTGCAGGTGGAAATGGGCAGAGTCTGCCACTGCTTAACAGGGCTAGAGAGGCCAGCCGTGGAGCAGGCTGACAAGGCTGCTGTAGCACTTTGGTCAAAGTGCCTAGAACAAGCATATTTTCTTCCTTTCCCTCTGGACTTCTGCACATATCTTGCCTGACCCTGAGCACTGTGGCGGACTGGGCCCCTTTCTAAGGCATGTGGGGAAAGCATCCCCTCATTTTGACTGCTCAAGCAGTGCCTTTCTCAAGGGTGCAGGGAAGTCCTTCCCTCCTTTCCTTGCCAGTCCATTCTCACTGCTTGGAACCAGTGTCTGTTCCCAGCTGCTACCTGTTTACCTCTCTCAGCTGCTTTAGACAGGCAGCATGTACCTGTGCCTTGATTCTTTTTCTGTCCCTTCTAGTCCAAGACCACCTCATTTGGGGCACTTTTACATAACAGATGTGTTGTGGTAGCTGACTGTATGATAGGTTTGGGAAGAGGGTTGAGGAGAAAAGAGTCCTTTCTATGTCATGTTGGGACCTATGCCCTGGGAATTGAGAAAGTTTGGTTCCCAATGCAGGGTTTGGAGTCACATAGACATGAGTTGAAATTCCAGCCATGTCTATTTCTGGGTCTTGACCTTGTACATGTTACTTTACTTTTTTGAGCCTTAGTTTCATTCTCTGTAAAATGAGGGCAGCAGTAGTAACTACCTCATAAGGTAGATGTGAGGATTCTGCCTGTCATGTTAGAAGTACCCAAATTTATTAGCCACCATTGTTCTTTTACAGAGGCAGGCCTGGCCTCGCAGGGAGGAAAACAGTGCTGAGGCTTGTCTGGCATGTCCAGGCCCTGATCTGGGAAGTGCCAGCGTTCCAGAATCTCGTGCTGTAGCTAAGCCATGCCCTGGGTGTCCCTAGGCTCCTGCTTCCAACCCCTCCCTGAGATATCTTCTAGAGCCCAGGGTAGCTGTTTAGGGGTGGTGACAGAGGCCAGCTCCCAGGCCCCACCTTTCTCTCATGTTGCCAGGTCCATGCTGGAGGCAGGCTGGGGCAGGTAGCAGCCAAAAAGAGTTCCTGCCAGCCACTTTACTCTCTTGCTTCTCACTTCTCCCTTCTTTTTGTAAACAATTACAGCCTGCTTAGACGCCTGGTGACTCTCATCTCTCAGCAGGCCACACTGCTGGCCTCTAATGAAGCCTTTAAAAAGCAGGCAGAGAGCGCTAGCGAGGCGGCCAAGAAATACATGGAGGAGAATGACCAGCTAAAGAAGGTGAGCCCACTTTCCCAACCTTACCGGGATGCCCAGGGCCACATTCCTCAGGGGCCAGAGTGGCCACCGTTAGACTGTGTAAGATTACTGATGCCTGAGAAATTGGAGTTGGATGGAGACACAAAGGGAAAATTGTCAGTGGGGGTGGGTGTCTGCCCACTGGAAGGATCATTGGGTGACTTTGGCACCCTCTCCTGGCTCAGAAGTACATAGTAGAAAAGGGAGGCATTGCTGCTGCTATCTTATATCTATCTACTGCTTTCACTGAGACTCAGCCTTGATGAGAATGAGTTCACAGTGAGCTGGGCTCTGTGCTGGGACACCCCTGCCTCTCAGAGAAGACCCTTGTTCTCCGGAAGATTGCTGTCACTTGGACCTCTTCAGGAACTCAGGGCTGATGAATCCCTCAGTGCTAGGGAAGAGGCAGGAACTGGTTTGTTGGCCAGTCCTGGAAGGCTTGTCAGAAGAGGTAAGGTGCAAGCCTATCTTGGAGGGAGACAGATGGATTTGGAGTCATAGGTGGGATGCAACTGAATGGGCAGGGGCAAGTTTGGGGTTCATTGTCCTCAGTGAACTGCTTGAGTCTGGGAAGAGGAAGGAAGAGTAGTTAGTTGGGAGTGACTGGCAGAGAGCTCCAGATGACAGCAAGTAAGTCATTGGATGAACTGGTAAACTCCACGGAGCTGAGTCTTGCTGTTGAGGTAGGAGGTAGGGCCAAGGGCCAGGGCAGGCAGGGTGTGTGGCCTGTGAGCTACAACAGGTGGCCCTGCTGGCCCTTTCCTTTTCCCTGGTGGCCAGCCATACCCTGGCCTTTGCCTGGGAGCAAGTAGTGGCACAGTTCCACGTTGAAATTTCTGAAGGGACAAGTAAGTGTCCAGGGTAGCTTGACGAGGCATACTTGGTGAGTAACCCAGCCCTTTACACTTTACCCAGGGAGCTGCTGTGAATGGAGGCAGGTTGGATGTTGGGAATGCTGAGGTGAAGTTGGAGGAAGAGAACAGAAGCCTGAAGGCTGATGTGAAGAAGCTAAAGGATGATCTGGCCAGCACCAAGCAAAGTGAGGGTTGTCTTCCTGTGCTATCCCCCTCCCCCAGGTCCAGAGGCTCACTGTCCACTGCTGCCCTTCTTGTACTAAAGTATTAATCGCACATCTCATGTGCAAGCTCAAGAGCTGAGGGAAAACACACAGTACTTTGCACCTCCACACCCAAACATGGGTGAGCTTAGCCTACAGTTAGGTGGGGTTCAATGGTTTGAGCAGGCCTCGGAAAAGCCCTGGCAGTCACACTGCATGCTTTAGCTGTGCCTGCTGGGGGTTTTCCTATTAAGAGAGGCAGGCAAGGGGAGCCCCGAGATGTCTTGGAGCTGAGAACCAAAGGAGTGTCAGGAAGGGAGTGGATGGGAATTCATGGTAGGTTTTTTTCTTCTTTTTTTGAAAATTAAACCAGCTCTGTACTGGCCTGCCTATCTTTTCTTTCCCAGCCCTAGACTGAATCCAGACCATCTTCATTTAGCATGTGTATGCTTTGATTATTGCTACTCTGTAAGGCATTGCTATCACCAGGGGTATTGCTTTGAGGCTGGGATTTTGCTTCCTGCCCCCCTACCCCAGCCTCCTTAAAGATTACTTCTGCTGAGAACCCACCATTAAAAGGGACCAAGGGGTCTTCTGTTTTTGTTTTGTTTTGTTTGCTTCAACTAGCTGTTTAGTCATCCCTTCTTCACACCCCTGCTCTTGAGGGAGAAGGGTGGCCATAAAAGACTTTTTAGAAACACCAGAAATTGTTTGTACAATGTCATGTGAAACTGATTTAGGGCCCCATGTTTTAAGCAAGTAAGTTTTTTTTGCCTAGTCTCAGTCCTTTATTTTCTTCCTGTCCTTGTCATTTGCATCATTTCCAGAACTAGAGAAAGCCGAAAACGAAGCTCTGGCCATGCGGAAGCAGTCTGAAGGCCTCACCAAGGAGTATGACCGCTTGCTGGAAGAGCACGCCAAGCTTCAGGTCAGTTTCTCCCCGCCTGTGCAGGAACAGGTTTGGGTTCCAGCTGTGCTGCAGAGTTCCCATTGTGTGTGTGTTTGTATGTAGGGAGCCTGATGCCTCTTCTTCTGCAGGCCTTGCAGGAGGTCTAAGTAGCTTGCTGGTAGCACTCTGCCAGTCTACTTTTGTCATCTCCTTCACTGACAAGTCTGTGGCTAGAGCAGGCCCAGCAGCCAAACCCTCCACATGCCAGGTCAGGCATGTGGCATGGCACTAGATAGCTGGCACTTGTTAAGGAGGCCTTCTGTGGTGGGTTGGCTCTCTATGCTCTGGGCCTTCCCACCCTTAAACTTAGCATCAGATCCCTCTAGAGGAGCTCCTTACTTTCCAGGCCATCCCCGTGGTATGGGGGCCCATCAAGAATATGCACAGATGAGGCCTGGGGAGTGGCTCAAGTGGTAGAGTGCCTGTCTAGCAAGCACAAGGCCCTGAGTTCAAACCCCCGTATCACAAAAAAAGGAATGTATGCAGGTGAAATACTGGGCAAGTAGCAGTACTTGATGCCTTTCCTTTAGGGCTGGAGGGTAATGTGGGCAAAACCTGCGGCAGGTAAGGAGAAAGCCTCAAAGGGTACCTCACTTGACAGATGCTAGTTGCCGCCATTGCCTGCTACCCTAGGTCTGGTCTGAGTCCTTAGTCTAGCCTCGGAACTCTAGGGAAAGCTGGAAGCTCAGGTGGTCTGAAAGTTGGATGAGAGCCATGTAAACACCCCTGTTTGCATAGCTTGTGTCAGTATTTGACAGCTCAAGTTTGGGCACCACAGTGGGTGGGGAGAAGGGGCCCAGCCCCACAGTGGGTGTCTGTGCCCTCAGTGTAAGGACAGGCTGTCTTGGGTTTTAGGGAGAGCTATGGAAAGTACACAAAGTTGAGGAGGTCGTGAATTGGGACTTGAAAGTTGGCCTGCTATATGTGCCTGAGAGAAGGTCTTGGTTCTGTTCTAGCTGTAGTTAAAGATTGCTGCAGTGTAGGCCTCCGACTGCTACCCCCTGCCCTGGGGCTCATCCCTCACTGAGATCCTGGCAGTTCTGCCTTGGCTGGCATTAGATTCAGGGCATCTCTAGTGTATGGGAAGGGCCAGCATGCCCATGCTGGCAACTCTTTGGGCGCTGCTGAGGTTGGGGCTTCTTGCTCACCTGAATACTTGCCATTTAAGGGAGAAGAGAACTGATCTGGGCCTCTGGGAAATAGGGCTAGAGGCTGAAGGGGAGGAGTAAGCCCTGCCAACTTACTGCTTTTGGGTTTCTGTCCCTTTCCAGGCCTCGGTAGATGGTCCCACAGACAAGAAGGAGGAGTGAGGGCCTGCCTCCTCCCCTGCCTGCAACCAGCTCCCACCTGATCCGTGCTCGCTGCTTCCTGGGAGCCTCTTCCTCCGGTACTTAGGTTCACTCCCTTCTGCTTGCCCCATTCCCTTTCACAGCTTGTAGCTCATCATCTCGGCCCCTTTCCACACTCTGCCAACATACCAAAGGGGACCTGATCATCACTCATTCAGAGTGATTTTGCCATTATCCTGCCTAGCCAGGCAGCTTCCACTCCTAGGAGTGTGGAGGGCACTTTGTGACCTGGCCTGCGTTTGAGTGCATTTTGTTTTGCCATGTTGATGTGTTCTGTGGTCCTGCAGGAGGCCTGTAAAACAGGCCAGTTAGTTTCTCCTGAGGGCAATAAAAGTTGTTATGATGTATATGAGGTGCTTGTGTGTGTATAATTGAGGCTGCAGGGAGGATTTTGCTTCCTCCCCTCCCAAAGCTCCAGAGTAGCCAGGGAGGTGTGGCAAGGGCTCTGTGCATCCTTGAGTTTGTTCGAGCCCCTGAAGGCCAGGCTCACACTTGTCCTGCCCTCTCCCGCCTCTCCTCCTCCCCCAGGCCAGGACATGCCCTGCTTTATGGCTCTTGGGGAGTGTCTGTCCTGTCAGTCTCTCTGGGGGTTGGAAGCTGTCCCAGAAGCTTGGTAAACCGGCGGGACTTCGGGACTTCCTGGTGGCAGACTTGCCTGTCTTCTCTGGGATCCTGTTCATCACATTCGGGACTGATAGAATGTGGCAGGACGCCACCAGTCATTCCTTGCCCTACCCCCCCCTTGTGAAGGTTTGCAGCATGACCTCTGACTAATGCTGACTAGGAGAGGAGACTCGTCCTTGGCGGTGACCTAGAGCTGGCCCAAGGCAGAGTGAGGCAGTGAAGAGGTGCTGCAGAGGGGTCAGGGTGCCTCTTCTCTCTAGCCCTGAAGACGCACTGGGTGTGGTTCTGCCACTATGCACTGGCTTGCTCACAGTTTCCCCCACAGCTTCCTCTTGAGTACGGATTAGAGCAGGGTTGCCCTGCTGGAGAGTAGCAGGGCACAAGAAAGGGCTCTGTCCCCAAAGAGGTGCTTATTCTCTGCCCCTGTCTCTGGCAGGGTCTCAGCCACACCTGGTGTCTGAGGACTGGGTGGAAGGACTGGGGGAGCAGGCTAGAGGTGTGTCTCTTGGAATTGGGGTGACCCCTGAAGATGTTGACATTGGCCAGCCAGTGTTGGCTAATGGCCAAGTGTGTGTTCCCCCACCTGCCTTCCCTGTCTGTGCCCAGACCAGCAGCTGTCTTCTCAAGCATCCTGTCACCCTTCCCATTCCTCAGAGCATGACTGTCTTGTGAGGAGTCCACTACTTTTCTGGCAGTCTGAGAAGGTGGTGCTCATGGGGGCAGGGGGCATTCAGGTGACACCCTCTGGTTGCTATGCCAAGGCTTAGAGCTAGTCTGATTTTCCAGGAAGTGTTCTGGACTACCTTGGGCCTCCCTGAGATCACCTGTCTATGCATCAAGAGGCTAAAGTCCAGACAGCCTCTCCTGCTGTTCCACCCCAACCCTGGCAAAACCCCAATCTGGCCTGGCTTCCAAGGCACACTTTCTAATGGGGAGACAGAAAAGACTACAATACTTTTGTTTTTTGCACCCCCCCCCCCCCCGCTTCTTGGGTGGTACTGGGATTTAAGCAGTGCTTTGCACTTGTTACGCACACCTCCAGCTCTTTATGTTCTGCTTATCTTTGAGATAGGCTCTTGCTTTTTGTCCATGCTGGCCTGGACCATGATCCTCCTATTTTACACTTCCCGCTGTAGCTGGCATGACAGGCGTGTGCCACCATGCCTAGCTTTTTCTGTTGCAATGATGTCTTGAGAATTTTTTTTGCCTGGTCTGGCCTGTAACCATGGTCCTCCCCATCTCAGCCTCCCAAGTATCTAGGATTACAGGCATGAGCCACTGGTACCTGCCTTTCTTGCCTATTTTCCTCACTGTACTGGAGTGGCTTGAGGGCCAAGACTACTCTTACTATCTCCATGTCCTGACGTCTAGCATAGGGACAGATTCCTGAGTAAATACCCCCTACCTACTACTGCAGGGTCCAGTTTAGATGGCAAACCTCTGTGAGATTGCCTTTTTGTGATGTCACTGTTTTCTGTGTCTTTGGTGGCATTGGAGGGCATTTAGCCTGAAGGGGAAAATAGCAGACCAGAGCACTCATCCAGGTAAGGGATCTGGCCAAGGGCTGTTTAGGAGTTGGTGTGAGCTTGGAGGGGGCGGGCCCTGAGGATGACACTGGGCTACCTCTTCTGGTAGAGGCATTTAGTTGGGAGCACAGTGTTTGAGGGACTTGGCACACCCTGAGAAGGGTCTAGTGAACACTTAGGGAAGGCCTTTGCAGTTAAGACAGACTGGAGATTTGGCAGTGACTGACAAACAGGGATCTGGAAATGGCACACCTGATTGCAGGGGGGAGAAGAGAGGGGGGAAGTCTGTGGAAGCAGACTGGAAGAGAAACTGGAGAAGGGGGCAGGGAGGCTGCCTAGGCTCCCACCTGCCTCCGGCAATGTCTCTGCTTCCTGCTCTGCACAAAATAGAACGAGGGCTGCCTGGTCATCCTGCCTAGGGTGCCACGTGCTCATTAAAGGCTGCTTTCTGCCTGTGCACTATGTCCCACCCATTCAAGGGCCTGTCTGGACTATCTCTGATTCCTCTCCATTTAATTGTGGTAAAACACCACCCCCCAAAAAAAAAAGTACCATGTTTTTCATTTTCAAGTACACAGTTCAGTGGCATTAAGTATATTCACATTGTTGTGCAACCGTCACCACCAACCATTTCCAGAACTGCTCATCTTCCCACATGGAAACCCAGTACCCATTCCCCTCCTCCCTGCTCCTGGCACTTCTACTTCCTATCTTTTATGGATTTAGCTGCTCTAGGGCCTCTTATGAGTGGAATCATGCCTTTTATGAGCACCTCATTTCATTTATGCATCATACCCTCGAGGATCACTCATGTAGCATGTGTCAGAATTTACTTCCTTTTTAAGGTTGAGTAATATTCTGTTGTGTGGACATGCTGTACTTTGTTTATCCATTCATCTGCTGATGGACACTTTGGTTCCTTCCACCCCTTCATTCTTTTTTCTTTTTATTATTTGTGTGTGTGTGAGAGAGAGAGAAAGAGAGAGAGACTTGAGGCTTGAACTCAGGGCTTTGTGCTTGCAAAGCAGGCACTCTGCGGCTTAAGACACATACCCAGTCCATTTTTCTCTGGTTATTTTCGAGATGGAGTCTCATGAACTATTTGCATGGGCTAGCCACAAACTGCAGTCCTCCCAATCTTAGCCTCCTAAATAGCTAGGACTGTAGGCGTGATCCACTGGTGTCCAGCCCACCCCTTCTTTCTTAATCCCAACTCAATCAGGCTTTTGCATGCCCCTCCACCTAAACCTCTCCTGACCAGGGGTTCTTCGTCTCCTTGCCATACCCAGTGAGCATGCCACGGAACCATTGTGTTTGACCAGAGTAGCACACAGCCGCTCCCTCCTCCTGCAGGCCATCTGGGGGCCCCAGGGCTCCATGCTTTAATTTTATCTCCCATCTATACCCATTCATGTCTCCCTTCCCCCCAGTCCATCCAGACTCAGGGCTTGTCATTTATATGTAGTGATAACTTCCAAAGTTTTAGCTCCAGGCCAGACTTTCTGTAACTGCAGACTCCTGTGTCCACCTGCCAGCTAAACATCTCCACTTGGATGACATTTCCCTGATGACATGCCCAGAGCCAACTCCCAGTTGTCCCCATTGCAGGACCTGGCAGCACTATTCTTCCTGAGGCTTGGGCCAAATCTTTGGTTTGACTCCTCAAACCTGCATCATACCCATCCATAGCCCCTGCTGGTCCTGCCCACAAAATAGACCTTAATCTAGGCTGGGGGTGTGGCTCAGGTGGTAAGAGTGCTTGCCTAGCAAGTGCGAGGCCAAAGTTCATACTCCAGTACCTCAAAGCAAAAACAAAACAAAAATCCTAATCAAAAGATAGAACCCCTCCCAGGACCATTATACCATGGTGTAAGTACTTCCATCTCACCCCCTCCCTCCCTGGGTCATTGTTGGAGCATGTGGCCATGTGGCCCTGGCCAGCCCCCTCACCCTCTGCTCTTAGAAGGCCATCTGAAAGTCCAGTGCCCACAGCTGCACACACACCCTCCCTGCTACATTTGCTCCTCTTGAGCTTGTTGTCACCCCTCTCACCCTCAGTATGTCAGCTCTGGGGCTTTCTACCAGCTTTCCTTCCCTGCTCCTGCAGTGGTGCTAGGTGCAGGAGTCCTCAAAACAGGGCCTTGTCAAGTGCTGAAGCTGGGAGAAGTTCCCCCAGGCCTCTTGCACCCCACCCCGTCCTCTCCGAGAGAAGCAGAGGCAGAAGCAGGAGCCAGCTTTGGAAAATGATGTGTTTTTATTGCTATGTTTGCAGTGGCTTTTTAGCACAGTAAGAACGTCCCCAGAGGCCCGCACCCTCACCCAGCTCCACCCCTGTAACCTAGGTCTCTGTCCCCATGTGAAAGCTTTTCTAGGGGCCACTCGGCTGTCTTGGGCTTGATGGGACACAGATGTGGGTTAAAGCTGCTACACGGAAGACTTAAGATGTGGAAAGTACATCAGCCTTAATTAAGCTTGGAGGTGGGAGCCATGCCCGGGATCCCTTCCCTGGCTTGTGCCCATGGATGATCCCTGCAGTTGAGCCCAGCCCAGGGAGCAGGTGTGGGCAAGCCAGGTGAGCAGCCCCAGATCCCTGGGACAGAATCCCCACCCTGTGAACTTGGGGGCAAAGGGTCAGTGTGGGGACACCCTCAAGGCCCCCACCATGTACTTTTCCACCCCGATCTGGGGATGGAGACCACGCACGCGTACACACACACACACACACACTCCATACATCCACACAACAGACTCATACACTCAGCCTGAAGCTTTTGTTTTGCCTATGAAAATTAGATCTATAAATTCACACTCCTTGGCTAGGGGCAGAAGAGGAAGGAGGGACTTCGAGGAAGGGAGGGGTAAGGAGGGGATGGTTTGGGCTCTTCTCTGTTTAGAAATATACAAGCAGAAATCTCCTCAAGTTTTTATAAAATGTGCAAAATACAAGCCTCCTTGGCCCAGAGGCACCACTTATATCTGGTATTTGCCTTTGCTAAGAGAAAGAGATCTACACATCCTCTACACACTCACACACACGTGTACTCGTACCCAAGCTCACACAATTGATATTGGTAGCAATTGGCGCAGGAACCAAAAGGTTCCCTTGCTGGCTGGCTCTCTAAGCTTCTAGAATAGGGATGGGGGGGGTCTAGTCCAACTGAAACTTTTCACCTTGGTTCTGCTGCCCCGCCCGACCCTCCCACCCCTCCCACCC